TAGAAAGTAGTCTACGGAATGAAACAAGACTAGTTTCATTGTCAATGGGAACAGTGGAATTTTTATGGGATAATCTCTGGTTGGCGACGGACGGGCGGCTTGATTGTTATAATTTGTTTGGCTTCGATAATCGATCAATATGGGACTGAAAATAATTTTTAACAACAATTTATTCGCTATTTCCGTCGACGTTTCCTTCCAATATGTTGGTTCAATGCGATCATCTGTAACATAATCCGATATATATATACATATATATATATATATTGCAGATATATGTGTATCGCTGATAAAATCCTACGCGCGTTAGGTGCAATATATCGAAATCAGACCAGGGAAATAAATTATTAATAATGTTCTTGGCATATATGAATATTCACGAGGAATATGGGAGTTTCTTTATAGATCATGGTTTCATGCAAGCGTTTCCCGCAAAATACGTCATTTTTATTCAGATATATAATCACAGGTAGTAACGGTAAGAATCGAACGTCAAAGAAGCCCGACTTACTGCATACATATTCTTCACTACTGATTCTAGTTATTATGTCACCATAGTTACACGAGTAATGTACAAATATATTAAACTTGTTATATCATGGGATATATGCGATATTTAGCAGAACCGGTGATATCATACAACATAATTATATCGCTGGATGCCGCATGAAATGGTTGTGTATCGGATATGGTATACCACAATCTATGGTTATATCACGGATATTGTTATAACTTGTGTTATGGTTATATCATGAAATATATGTAGAGTAAATAATAGAAAACATATAGTCCGAAAACGTGGGCGCACTTGCTCAGAATTTACTCTCTTAATTGCTTTGTGACTTTGTGTCTTTATTGGTGGTTTGGATCAGACCCTCCCTCCCACATCTACATTCCACAATAAATACCCCATGAAAAATGAAGATGCCGATTCACACACACCTATGCATTACCCCTATACAATTCACAATGATTCCGTCGAAAGGACATGGTTAAATCTGGATCGTCTCTGACAACATTATGAAATTATAAGTATTTTGCTAAGAGTATTTTCAACAAGAAATGGCTTGCCATTCAGCGTTTTGTGTTTCCTGTATTTCAGATTGCACTATACGGGCACGTTATTATGATTGAATCGTGGACAATGTGAACACAAGACCATAATGTACCATACGGCCCGTATAGTGATTGGGCGCTATGCCATCCGATAAAGGTACTACTAACACAGACAAGGAGGAACTGAAACTCTTGTTTCGTTGTCCATTGTCGAGGCATGACATCAACTAAACACTGCGCATTTCGTGGCCGAATGTTTGGCGAGATTTTTATAGCGTATACTTGATTGAATTTCAAGTCACGTAGTCTTCGACTGCTCGAATTGTACCGTTGAAGACGTGAACCGACACTGATATGGACATATACCTTGGATCAATTGGGTATATATTAAAAACTTTGTTTTGTTTACATCACTTCGAATCTCCGTAGGGGGCGTGGTACCAAACAATAAAATACTAGAATTGGGCAGGCATGGGCCAAAGGAGGTTGCAGGTCTGTGGTTTTCATCAAAAGAGTGTGTATTACGTATGCATGACATATACGTGTCATTCAGTGGAATTACAGCGATTTGACTTATTATCCAATTCGTTCCATCCGCCCGACTCCCAGTTTCAACAAAATGTCCAGAGTACTTCTCACTAAAATGATTTTTTAAATATACGTATTAATATAGTCTCTCAATCACGCATAATAATGTTCGACGTATAATATTTTATAATGCACGTGTTTCTAGTATGCCTAGTTACGGTATCTAGCGAAATTAAAAAAATATGAATAATTGAATGAGTTCTCAGTAACCTGTACGATTAAAAACATGAATTGAGCAAACTCCCAAAATGCACTTCGAATTATTCGTAAACCCCGGAAACACGAGAAGACACCTGCGTGTTATCAAGGGCTTTCCGAGACAGTCAGCCCCGAGAGGAGGCGGAAGATGAGTCTTGAGGGGGAATTGTCTGGCGTGCACAAACGCTCCGCTATCAAGATACAATGCTTGGTTGGTCTGGCGCCCAGCCAGGCGACACAACCCCGGGGTGTGGAGAAATGTCGTCGTTTACGATGATAACGAATGAATATTTGATAAAGCCACGTACTGACTTAGACAAAGATCGGTAGATTGAGATTCACACAATTATGCCAGTGCGAGAGGGCTTGAATTTATCAATGATACTATGAATGATCCGCTTCTTAACCGCGATGATACATTCAAAGGAAAGCAATATATATACGCAAACAAATGAGAAAAGATCACTAACGACACAAAAAGCCATAAATATGGTTAACTGTGGTATGGGAAAACGGCTCACATCCCCGTCAGTGTCCATGTGCCTTTTGTATTTTTAAATTAAATGAAGTCATTGGCATTAAGCATAATAAGAAAAGTTTGAAAAAGTAACTTTAATCCAGAGAAACACTTAGGAACATGATGAAAATAGAAAACGTTAGACTGTTTATTTATTTTATGCACTATTGTAAAGTTACATACCTTGTTCTAATGTAATTACGTTACAAGGCTATAGAGGGGTGCATGGCATTACCTTAAAAAGCCAAGTTCATTGCTAGTCGCGATATAGACTCCAGTATATCTTGTTTGATTTGCATACAATTCTCGTTATAGATGACCGCCAGGCTTTTAGTGAACTTAGTGTGTGTGTGCGTCATCCGGGGGAGTCATCCTTGTTTGGCAACATGAACAATCTCATAGACCAAGATTGAATAAGCCATTCGCAGGATATTCATCTATTTCTATTTTCGGACCATTCTTACAATGGGCGTTTTCGGACAATTCTTACCGTGGGACGTTTTCGGATCATTCTTACCGTGGGGCGTTTTTGGATCATTCTTACCGTGGGGCGTTTTCGGACAATTCTTACCGTGGGACGTTTTCGAACCATTCTTAAAATGGGAGTACATAGCATGGTAACACGGGTCGTTGCTACACATAAAACAAGACACAATGATGTCATAAATTCCTGAAAAGACAACGTGTCCATTGTAGCAGTCTTACAAATACAATCGATTTGGGGAGTTGTAGAACACAGACCGTGCAAATGAATAGTGGGTCTTTCATAGGCGGTTATCATTAAGCCGAGTCCCAATGTTTCAAACAGTGCAAGCAACTTGACGAGATTCACGCCATCCAACGACTGGGTGTTATTAAACGGACGAGCAATGGTGTGAATACATTGTTTATTTTCAGTTTGCTTTAACTTATAACTTTAACTTACTTGTTATAACTTATTTATACCTTGTACTTTAGTAAACCCCTCCTTTCTGGTATAATCTACGGAGGCGTCATTGTTTTTATCCCAAGTCAACTATCACTATATTATATTAAATATTAGCAAAATG